TCACTATTATTTTGGGGAAAATTTTTAAATTTGGAAGTTTTAGTGGAACTGAAAAGCGGTATTGAATTTTAAAAATCTATATATATATATATAAATTTGAATGTTGTTTCTTTGAACATAAAAATCCATTTCAACCACGATGGGCTGGCTCCACTTCTGGCCTTGATACTATATACTAGTTACTGAAAAAACATACATTTGAAATATCTGGGGGGAATAATAGACAGTTATACATACTCTTACTACCAATCTATATTATATAATGGTCGCCAATATACCCTGGTTGAAATATGTAAAGGGCAACAGGTCAACATATTTACCTTGTTTAAATTCTTCTACCATTATTGTTCGAGTTGATGTGGACACGTTAAATGTAGAATTCTGCTGTGGGTAGACGGGGGTGATTATGGGCATGAGATGATACCTGTCAGATAGATGTACCTGTGAAATTAGAAGGAGAGTAATTGATCTAGTCTTATTTGTTGTGCTCCCCTCCCCAAGCATATGAAGAATATGGAATATTTAATGCTACATTTCCTAAATTCTAAGATAGACTTTTTCCCCTCTCCCCAACTAAGGTATTTCTGAAGTCAGGGTGTTTGATAGTCAAAAACAAAGATCAACAGGAAGATGATTTTCTCTTGAGAAGCTGTTAATTAATGGTCTTACTTATAGACAACAGTCTTGGAGATTAAAGGAAATCCAGTCACATAGTGGCAAAAAGCATTATCTAGTCCAAAGATGTTCACTTCGTCTAGTCAACAGACGACTCTCCGGACTCAGAGAGAAATGAACACTGACTCCGACAATCAAACAACAACAACACAGGACTGACTTACAGCGGCCTGGAACACCAGATCTGCTCTAAGTCCCAATGCAGAAGAAATCTCATATGCATAACTAAGTACTTGTTCGACAGTGTTTCTTTCTTTGTTTGTTTGTTTTAAATAGTTCTAAGTCTTTTGGATTTCTGCCCTTGTAAAATCTGTTGAGGTCTTGTCCACCTCCTTAGTGGGCAGTTAGTTTTTTTTTTCTTATTGTAAGTTTTCAAAGTATTGTAGATTTTAATAATAAGGTCTTTGTCTGATGTTTCATTGCTAAAGATGTTTTCCCAGTCTGTGGTCTCCCTTATTACTACTCTCTTGGTGAATTCTTTCGACATACACAGGTGTCTTATCTTCCCACTTGTCAATTTGCGACTCCTCTGTTTATATCCTTCCTTTTGAATTGGGCTATCTTTGAGGGAGTTAGGTTGTGCCACAGAGAGAGAGTTTTTCATAGTGCATTGTGACATTCTGGTAGATGCAATCTCTCACCCAGTTTTCACTAGGGCCATTTTTAATGACCCAACATTTGAGGTGCACTGGAAACCAGTAGAGGGAGGGAAGGAGCAGGCCCACAGAGAAAGGAGAGCCCAGACAGGAGGGGTTCTCTCTAGAATACACATTAGACATGTGTCCCTTTCCTAAAGGTTTCATGAAGTCACTTAGAAAGTCACATACCCGAGGGTCCCAGATGGGCAGATTCAAATTGCCGTCTTCTGGTTGCTTCAGCAGCACAGGATTTGGCCATTCCCTAACATGAAAAGGCAGAGTCACACAGGACCTCACTTCCTGCTTTATGAAAATAGTAACGCAGTAAACTGTGTTCCTATATTTAAGTTTGGGCTACTTGTTATCTTTCAAAAAGGAAGAGAAGGGGAGGAAGTGTATAAAGACAAAGCCACTTATTTTAAAGCAGTGTTTCTTTGACAGGACAGACTGTTTTGCCCATGAAATCCAACACTGTTGAGTTGATCTCAACTTTCAGCAACTCAACAGAAGCAGGAAGAACTGTTCTAGTGTTTCTGAAGGTCAAAGTCTTTACAAAAGCAGATAGTCTCATCTTCTTCGCCTGGAGTGGCTCATAGGTTCAAACCACTGGCTACCAGGACTCTTACTTTGTCCGGTCTTATTTTGGCTGCTTAACACACGCATCCACCACTAGTAGCTAGTAACCAGAAGAACCCGGCCTGCTGTGCAGACTCCCCTGGGCTAAAAGCCCACCCACTGAGTCCTGGAGGAGAGCTCCAGCTGGCTGTCCTACTCTTGCCTCAATCTGACAAGGTTTTCAACTTAAAAAAAGGTGTGTTAAGATGAGAGTACAGGAAAAGTCTACGCAAAGCCCTTAAATTACCAAATACATTTATATACAGGGTCACAAGCTTACTGCCATCATGTTGATCCCAATGCATAAGACGGAAGTTGGTAAATAGTGAGGGGATTGTAGTTAAATACTTACCATTTGGAAAAAACTAAGAAGAACTTATGAACTAAAGTAGAAGCTGCTGCATTTGGATATAATTGGCAGGTTCGTGCAACCAGCATCGCCCAAGAGACACCACCAAGGAATCCCAGCACATTGGAATAAATACCACGTCCTACAACAATGAAGGCACTTGTTAATGGCTGGCTGGACATTCTCCCGATAAGCTTATGTTTTCAAAACAAGGAGCTGATGCCAGGGACTCCGGTGGAGAGCAAATGTTTTGAGAATGATGAGGGTAATGAATGTACAAATGTGCTTTACACAATAGATGTATGTATGGACTGTGATGAGTTGTATGAACCCCCAATAAAATGATTGAAAAAAAAAAAAAAAAAGTAAAATCATGCTAAACCCCCCCCTCCCTCCCGCAAAGTTCACTTTTTCAGACTGTTGCAATGCATATTCCATAGCAGATCACTGACTAGAAGGAACCAGTGTGAAGCCCTGGTCCCACCAAGAGCTGCTTCTTTTATGCCCTAGCTTGCCCTTCAATCCAGGCCACTCAGACCCCTGTCTCACTCCAGCTGGGTTCAATCAATCCCACACGGACATAGCCCACCTTTCTATAGATCTAGAATCGAGAGAGAAATGAAAGAGGAGAGATCTTTTGGAAGATCTGTAAGAAGGGATGAATAAGAATTTAATTAGTAATCATGCCCATGGGTATTTAATTGGCAAGTGTAAAGTTGGGGACCAATTTGGGAAAGTCTCCATTCTGCACAATTTGGATATCTCTTCATAAAATAGCACACACAACTACCATTATCACTTATCATGTGAGTTTAATTTTTCCATTAAAAAATTACCACCCTTTATCAAAACTAAAATTTCCTCAATTATGTCATATGGTGCTATTTAATGCCTCACTAGGCAAGTGAGAGAGGAAAAAAAACCCCTATAAAATTATAGACATTATAATTATAGACATGTTAAATGCGAAAACATACTTCTCTTTTTTTAATCGTTTTATTAGGGGCTCATACAACTCTTATCACAATCCATACATACATCATTGTGTAAAGCACATTTGTACATTCATTGCCCTCATCGTTCTCAAAACATTTCCTCTCCACTTAAGCCCCCAGCATTAGGTCCTCATTTTTCGCCTCCCTCCCTGCTCCCCCCCTCCCTCATGAGCCCTTGATAATTTATAAATTATTATTTTGTCATATCTTGCTCTGTCCGACATCTCCCTTCACCCACTTTTCTGTTGTCCGTCCCCCAGGGAGGAGATCACATATAGATCCTTATAATTGGTTCCGTGAAAACATACTTCTAAGAATTGATAAAACGTCCCTTTCTGCTCTAGAGTTACAAATAAATTCTCTTTACAAAAAAAAAAAAAATCGATAAAACATGCTATTTAATCTTAAGAAAACATACCTGAGCCAAGGGACAAATTCTACTTGCTTAATAAGGCCCTTTTAGACCCACATCATATTAGTCACAAGCCACGCATAGTTTCTTCTCTTTAACAGCACAGGGAAACATACGAGGGGGTATCCCAAGGCACCCCCACCAAAAAAAAAAACCCTCCTAGAATTACACTGGGCAGAGCGGACAGTATAAGATATGACAAAATTATAATAATTTATAAATTATGAAGGGTTCATGAGAGAGGGGGGAACGGGGAAGGAGGAAAAATGAGGAGCTGATACCAAGGGCTCAAGTAGAAAGCAAATGTTTTGAGAATGATGATGGTAACAAATGTACAAATGTGCTTGACACAATGGATGTTTGTATGGGTTGTGATAATAAGAGCTGTACGAGCCCCCAATAAAATGATTAAAAAAAAGTTTCTCAGTAGCACATTTCAAGTGTTCCATAGCCAGATGGGGCTTGAAGTTACTGTACTGGACAGTGCTGTGCCAGCCTGTGGAGAACCTGGTGTCACAAGTGCGGCATTACCTAGATGGAAAATGTGCTCTGCCACTTCAAAAGGATTCTATGCCATGTTTATGAACCATACCCTGTAGCTAGTACTTGGTGCAGTGCTAGGCTTTATTAAAAGAGAGTGCTCACAGGCTAAAACTAAAGACCATGAGATACTTACGTTTGGCCCATAATTTGATTGCTCTCAAGGTAAGCCTAAAAGTTTCTGTATTTGGCACCAGGTGCAAAATTTCATCAGTAACTCTACAGCCTGAAAAAGAGAAAAAGATTAATTTTCATTAATAACAAAACTAATTAATTCAAATGCCCCATTAACTTTTAAACTGTCAAATGCTAAAGATATGATTTTTAAAAGTCAATGTTCGTTTTATGTACTTGACATTTATTGTGTACAAGCCTGTGTGTACAAGGGTGTCTATTTGCACACACACATCTAAGTTAAAAACTGGATTCCAGTTTACACCTGCAAAGGTATTATTCCAAAGGAAAAAAACCGTTTCACCATGTCTGCAATCAGTGGATGCCTGCAGACAAGTTCTCTCACTTGTCTCTTTCCACTTCCTGGTCTCATTCAGGTGCCTTCCCCAAAACAAGGTCCACGAAACAGTGGCCTCTGAGGGCATCTGCTGGGTCAGTTCAATTCACGGAAGAGGTGTCAGCTCAGATGATTATGGGCACTTTCTTTTTTCACGGATTCCCAAGGGGTAATCTTGATAGATTCCCTCAAAGGGCACAGGACGATCTTTGGGGTTTATTAGAAAGAAGTTTTAAGAAAACGGAAAACACCACTGGTGAGAAAATTGCCATAAAAGTTACACTGAGAAACTTTTTTTCCCATGAGGACTGTGCCCCTGCTCAGGCCTGAAGGGTAGCCAAGGTTGTCCTGTGATAACTGTGCTAGGAACCCTTTCCCCGTTCATCTACATCCCTGATCTGTCCCTTCAGACTTCAGGAAGATGGGGGATATGTCAAAAAGCAATAGCTTCACTTCTATTAAAATAAGAGATAGCAATAGCTTCACTTCTATTAAAATAAGAGATATCTTCCTTATTGAGTGTTCTTCCATAGTTGACTTCACTATAATCAAATACCTGTGAGTTATTAGTTACTGCTTCAATGCAAACCTTCTATATTGTATTCTAGAAGTGCAGCAAAAAACAATGGTTTAATTAAACAAAGGAGATTATAAACCAGCGGCTCTCACAGTATGGTCTGTGACCCCTGGGAATCTGAGGACAAGCCTACTTTTGCACTCTTTTGGTCTCCTAGGGGCGCGTTTTTCATGGTGTTTACACTGCACCACAGTACAAACTAAGTGAAACTCTCGACATCTGTGGCAGTGAATCCAGGCAGCGGCAACAGAGCACTTCACACCTTCTGCAGCATCACATCATTGCCACGAATGAAGTAAAATTCTGTTTTAAGTATCTCATATCAAGGTCAAGAACTTGTGCAAATGTTTGAATGCTAAGTTGAACTAGCTACTCTTTTTAAGGAACTCCAGTTTTATTTAAGGAGCAACAGAGAAAAAACTATGATTATTCATACTGGGGTATTCCAAAGAATTTTCTGAAAGCAAGCCCTTCAATGAAAGGAAAACAAATGACAGAATTTCTGGCCAATAATAAAATCCAAGCTTTCCAGTGAAAATTCAAATTTAATAAATCTGCCACTGTGAACTTGACCCTTCCGAAGAGTTGAGGATTTTTCTGATGACATTGGTGGTGATAAATAACGAACAAGGTTTCTCCAACGCTGTATAATCAAGTGTGTTAACACTCAGGACATCCAAACAGCTTGCTGTTGTTGAAGGCTGCCAGGTCATCTCTGACAGGTACCATAAAACTGTCCTAGGGGTTTTCTAGGCCGCAGCCTTTAAGTACACAAATAGCCACCAGGCCTTTCTCCTGAGGAGCAAGGGGGTGGACTCAAAGCACCAACCTCTCAGCTAGTAGTTGAGTGCTTAACCATTGTGACACTAATAAGTAAGTGAACAGTATTTCCCAAAAATAGCCAAGGCATGCCATCATCACTAGTAACGAATCTATTCCAAGAACAAGACAAACCAATGGGTTTTAATATAAAGAATAAAAAAATTCATGGATAATAGTTTCAGATTCCATTTTCTGATTAACCTTCAAGAAACTACCACTTTGTTATTCAGCAATAAAAAGCTATGAACTACTGATGTAAGCTAGCAACATGGGTGATGTTCATAAACATGCTGAGGCAAAGATGTCAGGAGAAAGAGAGAGAGAGAGAGAGAAAGTAGATTAGTGGTTGTCTGGGGCTAGGGTGGGAAGGGAGAAATGACTCCAAATGTGGATGAGAAATTCCTTTGAAGTGATGAAAAATGGATCATGTGATGGTTGTACAAACTGTGTACACTAAAAACCACTGAATTGTACACTTAGAATGGACGAAAGTTATGGTATGTAGTTATAGTTCAATAGATACTGAAAAGAAAATTAAAATTGTCAAATTGTAGTGTAGTAGCAAACATCCACACTACGTGAAAAAGCTTTCCAAGTACGAAGTGGTCAGATCTCCTTTCTATACTCCAGCAAAAACAGAACTGTAGTAGCAGATTAAGAATATAGCTATCTTCTCTGAAGTCACACATTTACAAGATTTGCAAAGTTTCTTAAAAAGCCATACTTCTCAGACTTAAAATATACATATTATTTCTAAGTTAATTAATAGATAAGAACGTCTCAGGCCTTAGTTCTACTGTGCTAAACCACTGACAGCTATAACCCACACAAACCAATACCTCTTGAAGGTCCCCTCTGCAAATTCTAAGAGTGTGAAGGGATCTTGAGACCAATAAGTTTGAGAACCACACTGTAAGCAACCTGTCACATAAACATGGGGTTTTAAGATGCTTACAGGAGTATTAAGGTAACTAAGCCAAATCAGTTGCCACATGGGTCAGAGCAGGGCTTGTTCAGTGTTGACACTGGCTGACCTTTGGAAAGCAGCTCACTAGGCCTTTTTCCTGCGGCACCCCTGGGTAGCGGTGAACCTTTAGGGAGCCAGATAGATACTGTATAATGAAATGGGTTAACCTTTGGGATAGCCAAATAACTTGTTGAGATAAAGGTAATTAGAACATCATTCTTAACTAAGTTTGTCTACATTCCTAAAACGACCAATAGTCAGCTATGGAAAAACCTGTTTGTCTATTTATTTTCAAAGTTGGTACCTGAGATTTCTTTTTAAAAGCTTACCATTCAAGCTGCGAATACACCTTATATCAAGTGTTCTCAGTCGAGAGTCATCTCTTAGATCTAAGTTATCTGATATGGTGTGGATTGGTATTCTTGCAAAGACTAGATCAATCTTTAGAAAAGATGGGGAAAAGAGAGAAAAATACATTACTCTTTCTTCTTTTAGTCCGTCCTCTCCCAAAAGTTCTAATTAATTTGGGAAATTCTACGAACTATTCTGATAGTCTACAGAAGGAAAGGTAATAAAGTTTTGTTAAGGTAAATAATTTTTCAAATTAAGGGAACACATTTTAACTTTAGCATATACGCCAAACATAAGAAAACACATCAACATTATGTAAGTTTCCAGATCCAACATAGGCAGATCCAAAACACATCCCCATTCACTTAAAGCCCCAGTAAAGCAACAGCAACATTTTGCTTTGTTTCTCATTTCATTTTGTTTTTAAAGACAAAATACAGTGAGAGAAAGCAGAAGATGGAAATGAGAGGTGGAAAGCAGTAAGTAGTAGTAAGTCTTACCAGATCCAGCGGACCTAAGAAAGCAAAGGTAAGGAATACTGCGTGTAGAAAATGAAGGCAGGGGTCAATAAAACAAGGCATCATAAAGAAAAAGGGACAATTAGAGAATTAGTTATTTTTCTTAGAAATTAAGGAGATGACCTTCCAAACAAAAACTAACTGCCAGTGAGCTGCAGTTCACAGCAAACCCGGGCAGAGCAGACTAGACGGACTGGTGTGGGAGCAGGAGGCAGGGCCCTTCTCACGAGCACCACCAAGACTCCTCAGAAGGGACGACAGAGGAGAGTACAATCTGGAAGACGAGAAAAGCCCAAAGCAGACCAAAAGATAAAGCTGTGGTTAACAAGTAAAAAGAAAAAGACTAAAAAAGAAGAAAAAGACTACTTGAATATCCAAACAACACAAAGATAGAAACAGAAAATCAAGGAGATTTCCATAAAATTTCAAGTACTACATAGGAAATAAACTTGCAGATTGAGAAAAGACTACTCTGAATGTTCAACATATCAGCTGAAAAACCCCATAACCAAAGTATATTACTCATGGATCTTATAATTATGAAGACAATAACAGAACACAACTAAACAACCAACCTGTAAGCTTTCAAGCACACATTACAGGTCACATACAGAGGACGGAGAATCAAAAAAGCACACTTCTTAATACAGGAAGGAGGTGAGAAGGCATGGAAGAAGGATCTTCGATATTTTGATGAGAAATTACCTCCTACAGAGAACCTACACTTGGCCAAACTATAGTTTGTGTGAGGAAAGAATAAAGACATTTTAAAACTTGCAAGGATCACCAAAAAAAAAATCACACCTTCCCAGGAAGTTGTTGGGTGAGCTCCACTAAGACAGGAGTAAATCAAGCGAGAACAAAATTCTAGAGGAAATCTAACATGACAGTAAAGGAAGATGCCAGCTGGCAATGGTCTACCAGGCCCAGAGAATTATCACCTTGTACTGAAACAAGCAAGAGGACCTGCAAAATGGCAAGGCCAGAGTACTTGATGGGTCTGAATCTATTTAGAGGTGATCCGCTGAACACGAGACCGAGTTTGAAGTAGTCCTAAGTATCAAAACCAAGACAACAATAGTGATGAACACCCGAGATAATAAATGTCGCCTAGCAAAGCACAGTCATACCGTGTATTTAGCTCTGAAACTTATTGTCCACAATGAGGTGCCAACAGATGAGAGAAGGTGTGATGGACTACTTGGTTCTCTAACTTTATGTCTATGTAAGTCTGATTAAAAAATTTAAACAATGCTCAACTTAAAAGAATTATGGTTAGAAGGTTAAATTACAAAGTGAATAATAACAATGAAAAGACTTACTTCAATTCCAAACAATTCAAATTTTATAACAGGTACAAAGGCATCTTCTACAGCCTACAAAAAAGAAAAACAATTGTAACACCTAAGTGAGATCCCTTCTTTGACTCCCAGCCAGCAATGTCAATTCTCTCGCTCCCAATTTATATTCTAAATCAATAGGAGGAGTAAAAATGTCCTGGGCCTTACATTAAAATCACTCACCCACAATCACGGCCATTGAGGTGATTCTGACTCAAAGTAACTGTACAGGACGGGGCAGAACTGCCCTGGAGAGTTTCCGAGACGGCAACTCTTTGGGAGTAAAAAGCCTCGTCTTTCTACTGCACTTTCTAGGTAAGTACTTCTATTTTGTGACTTACCTTACTTAACATACACAAGCTGCTTACTGCTGTACGTGGGCACTCCTAAATACTCATCACGAAATGGAAGGCGGAACTGCCGTTATTTGGGTACCTACTATTTCTTGAGCTTAAGAACTTGAAATCTGATCATTTACAAATAGCCTTGGTTAGACATTTAAAAAATAACACCTGTAACATATTCCTAACTCCTTTCTTTGAAAGTGTCCCTAGATTCCTACATGTTATAGATCTTTGGAGCTTTACATTAATCCTAGTACTTGAGATTTTGTTAAAACTGTTTATTGAGCTTCCTATCTACCCATAACCTATCCACTATGGGATATAAAAAGACTTCTCCCCAGCTTTGTCTCCCCCAGAGATATGACAAACATTAGAGGCTATTTGCCAGCACATGGTGGGAAGTCAGATGCATTCAGCATTCACACTACTGTCTGGTCCCCACCATAGGTGGGGCCCACTCCCTGCTGTTAAGGATGGGCTACTTCTCCCTGAAAGCTTTCAGCCATCAATCTGGTCCACGGTAGGTGGGGTTCACAACCTACTGATAATGGTTTCTATGCAGAGCCAGGGAACAGGTCAAACCCGCTCAGTGACATCCAAAGTTAGGTTGCCATCCTGAATCTAGGATCTGCCAATCTTGTCACATGTCTACCCCCAATCCATCCCTTCCTATTGTGTGTATACCCCTAGATAGTTACCCTCTAATTACTGTATCACCTATAGTACAACCCCTTCCTGTAACATATGTCTTTACTAGTAATTATGGGGTTAGCACGACCCCCCAAAGATATATAAACCTTGGTTAGAAATAAAGAGCTTTCTCTCCCCTGGTGCGTTCTCCCCCAGTCCTTGCTCCCTTGGCCCCTTTCGACTTGTCCTCCTTCCCCTCCCCCTCTCTCCTGCGCTCTCTCTCCTGCCCTGTACTACCAAGAGAAGCTGAGGTGAGCATGCTACCATGAAATGTGTCTGACTTCATTATTTAAATCTCTCTTGTCTCTCTCCTTATTCTCTACGACTTTACTATAATCTTTACTTATTATTCCTGTAATATAGAGCCTACCAGGTCTGTGATGATTTGTTATAGGCTGGCTACCCTGACAATCCACCAAACAGACACAAGGTCTTCTTCACTATTTTATTAGTGGGAATACGGTCAGTAGCTGGTGAATCACTGGTGCTCACATTTTACTTGAATGGCTAGAGTACATATTTAAAATGTTACTAATTGCACTTTACATGCAATAGCTGCACCACCTGGTAACAAATAAATGCCAAACTCACGATCATCTAGTTGATTTGGACTCATTATGGACCCTATTAGCCGTTTTGGAGGCAGTGAATCTTTCATAAAAACAAACAAACAAATTTACTAACTACCACTGAGTAGATTCCAACTCATAATGACCCTAGACAGGAGTAGAAAGTCTCATCTTTCTCCTGTGGAACAGCTAGCACATTTGAACTACTAACCTTGGAGTGAGCAGCCCGACAGGTAAAGCACTACACTACCAGAACTCCTATTGGATAGGTTTTATGTAAATTACCCCATCAATCCTCACAAAAGTATTTTAAAGAAGCTATCTAACATCATCTCATTTTACAGGTGAGGAAAAACTGAGTCCCAGAAAGAATAGGTAACCCGCCTAAGGTCAAAAAGCTAATACATGGTGGATTCTACATGCAAACTCAGGTTCATTTAACTATAAAGACACATGTTCTTAATAATAACTATGCATTCTTTTAACAAGGCACAGCAATTTCTTAGGCACAATCATAGGCTCTAGTGCCTATAGCTACTTGTTATTAAGTTCAAAATATTAAATACCCCCCCCCAAAGAAACAACAACAAAAAAAACCCCAATGTTAAGTACCAGAGGATACTTGCCCTTAAGTTTCTAATACCATCTTGATGCTTCAATCTTTCAAAGAAAGACTGAAAAAACTCATTTCTCTTCACGTGTCTTGGAGCTACACAAATTGCATCAATGTCAGCTCCTGTAAATCAAAGTATTTATCATGAAGAGTTTATTACGTATTTACATTTTTGCTAAAGTATACACACATAAGCATATGCACAGAAGAAAGTATATAAAAATAAACATTGGAAAAGTGTTAAAAATTACATTGGCTTTGGATATTGCGACTGTAAATTTTCTTCTTTTCTAATATTTCATAGTTTTCTTCCCCTTATCTTATTATGAAGACCAGGCGGGTTTGTTTGGAAGGTTCTTAGTGCTAGAACACAGACAACTGCTTACCTTTGGTATGTACTCCAAGCCTATAGGATCCAAATGTGAAAATTTTACCAACAATAGGCTCCGGAGGAGGTGAGGAACTCTAAAATAAAGCATAAGACATTCATCTTTCAAATTATTTAGTATAAAAAATTACCTAGATGATTACCGCCTTCTAATGAGCCAATGATAAGGAGGCGTACACTTGTCAACCTTGGTAAGATGAGTATTTCATGGCACCTTTAGCTACAACTTCAGGATAACAATGAGGCTTTCTACTCCTCTAGCGAATTACACGCTTGCAAACCCACAAGGACAGCTCTACCCTGTCCTACAAGATTACTATGAGTTGGATTCGAATCAATGGCAGTGAGTTTAGTTTGATACTTGGTTTTAGTTGCAACTTTTAAGTAATGAAGCTGTCCCCTGAAGACAAAAAATTCTTTCCTACTGCACTCACACAGCTTCATCTTAAGAAAACATTTTAAAACAAAACAAAACAAAACCCTCATTCAACGCTATTGTTCCCCAGTAGTTGCTGTCTTTGGCTCCATCACCCTAAGTGGCTATTGTTGCTGAGTGCTGTTGAGTCACAGCAACTGCATGTACAACCAAAGAACCGCCCAGGTCTTGTGCCAGCCTCACAACCCTCACATCTTGAGCCCTCTGGTATAGCCACCTGTCAGCCCATCTCACTGATGGGCTTCCTCTATACACTGACCAGCTCTACCTTACAAAGCATGCTGTCCTTCTCCAAGGACCGGTCTTCCTGATAACATGTCCAAAACGTGTGGGACAGTCTCCCCATTTTCCTGTTTAAGGAGAATTCTGCTCTACTTCTTTCAAGCCAGATGTGTTTGAATTTCTGGCAGTCCACTGTTCTTCAACACTACCAATTGAAGGACACGGCTCCTTTTCCAGGCTTCTGTGTCCACTGTCCAGCTTCTGCGTGCACAAGAAGCCACTGCCCATGGTGTGGTCAAGTGCACCTTAGCCCTTCCTCTCAGTCTCAGAAGCCATCAAGAAACAAACCAGATGTGCTTTCAGCTCTCCACCGCATGAGACTCCTACCCAATCCTTTATTTTGGTATATAGATGGAATTCCTTGATTGTTCCTCTACAGCCTTTCTTCTACAATCAATGCAGTCACCCTAAAGAGGGTCACTGTTGCTATAATCTCTTTATGAGAGCCAATCATCAATTTTAATTAATTTCATTTTGATAGTACCATAATTATACTGCTACTTTTCACTTCTCTGCAGAGGCATGTTAGCTGCCTATCAGGTATATTCACTGATACATTTTTCAGGTGTATATATATATATATATTTATGTGTCAATATCCATGCCTGAAACAAAAGAAAAATTCTTCCTATGAGATAAATAGACACTCTGAATTACTTTCTCCTGCTAACTACTCTTACTGCCCAGACTTAAAATCATAATTATTCTTCCTGACTTACCAATTCTTAGTTACAACCCTCACATTTATCTCTTCTTTTCTACTCAACTACCACTTCCCTAATTGCAAACTAAAGAGTATTCGGAGCTGACTACTTGCCTAATTTTTTTTCTTTCTCTCTCATGACCCATTTGGTACAAAATTCCCTGGCTCATGTTCTTAAATTTTTCTATTAATTCTTCTATGCAAAACTTGCCAATGCCGTTGTCTCTGCCGACACCACTGACTATTCTTAGGCTCACTACTGCGGACTCCACAGAATGCTACTGTGCATTAGTGTTGTCGTCTCCTGAATTTTGCTTCTGAAGCTCCAACGGCTCCATTTTATCCAGCCTCTTTTTCACTGCAATGGCAATGCCTCTGTATGGGATGCTTACTTCTCTTCTCTGGGTATCTCAAAACTATTTCTTTTTCAAGGTTCACTTTAAGCTCCACTTCTCCCATAAAGCCTTACATACTAATCTCTTCTCAACAAACGTTTTTCCTCTGTGCTTCTCTACGATTATAGTTAATGTGACTTCCGGGCATCTCAGTGACCCTATGCACAACAGAATGGAACACTGCCTGGCCCAGCCCTATCTATCCTGACAACTGTGCCTATGTTTGAGGCCATTGTTGCAGCCACCACGCCACAATCCTACTTTACTTGCACTGTATGTAAGGTGACCAGATTTTAACATGGTAAAGCGGGACACCATTGATAAAATTCATATCCTGGCGAAATAGCCACATGGCAGCCAAAAACCGTATACCCTAGTTTGTTGTGCATTCTTTCAAAAAATTGGGACTTTTTAAAAACGCTGCGGGACACAGGAAAAATTGTTAAAAATCGGGACTGTCCTGCCAAACGCAGGACATCTGGTCACCTTAACTATATGTAAATTTACTCACTTTGAAACAAATGAAATCACCCCTAAAAAAACAAACCTGCCACCGTCAAGTCAATACTGACTCTGACTCACAGTGACCCTGTAAGGCAGAGCAGCGTTTTCAAAGCTGTAAATCTTTATAGATACAGACTGCCACATCTTTCTCCCTTGGAGTGGTTGCTTGGCTCAAAGCACCCACCTTCTGGCAGCTGTATGCTCTAACCACTGCACCAACCAATCTCTATTCCCAACAAATTCTTCAAGGGCTCTTCTACTTGCTGCACGTGAAAAGCTTTTAAGTCACTGGGAAAGGCTTTGCGCCTTTTCCTCCACTAAATAAGAACTGTATGCACCTGTTCCAAACTTACCTCCAATGCTGACTTAAAGACACACTTCTGAATGTAAGTGTTCATAACCAGGGCCCAGCTGTATTGTTTTCCGACTCCTTTATACTGCAGCCTTTACTGACTTTTTCTCTGGACCTAGGTTTCATCTCTTCCACTTAATTCTTGCAGGGTGAGAAATCCCTGTTTACAACTCTGCATTGCCCTCAATGCCCAGGGCCAGTTCCAAGGAATATTATGTGCAGGTTCACCTGAATAGACGTGTCTGCTACTTCCTTTGTTTCATGGGCATTAATGTTTTAAGAATATACAAGTAATTTTATAGCAAGATGGAAGTCTATAAATATATTGATGACAAGCGTGAATAGAAGGGACAGAGAAGCCAGGACCTTAAAAACCTTTTAGTTTACCTTCCTACTTTGAAAAGCACGACTCTTACATGATTTATGAGAAAACGGTATGCTGAACCACCGGGTGAAAGATCTTCGCCACAAACCACAGCATTTAACTAAAAGCATTGCATGGGGAGTTTATCCCAATTGCGTATATACTATTCAAATTATCTTTGAGATAATGCAATTCCTTTGGTTACAGTACAACCCGGGAGAGCCAGAGCCTGTGTAAAACAGAAGAAGCCTGCTAGAGAGGGATGCACACAAGTGTTTTCCACTCACAGGAGAGAGAGAAAAGTGGTAAGACTTCACCTTACCAAAGACAGGAAACGTTTGAAACCTGAGAAAACTGTACGGGGCCCATCAAGTCCCTGCTCTCACAGGTTTCGCTGCCTTTTCCAAGACTGCTGAACACACCCAGTTATTTAACCCACTCAATGAAATGCTAAAATCAACCATTTTCTAAAACATCACCAGCATCTTTTCACTGCTCCAAATACAACTTGTCCAACAACCTCCACTATTGATAATGATGCCAAGCGCTCAGATGAGAGCTAGACAGCCCTTTCAGCAGATAAACAGCAATAACCACCCATGTATTCAAGCTCAATGGCTATAGGTTTACCAGAGCCCCCAACAACCTTATTCACTCCATAATTTAAAAGAAATTCTAACTCTGCATCACAGATACAGAAAGAAATAAAAACTGTAAAAGAAAGAAGTCTTAACAGATGTTGATCTAGCTTTTACACATATTCAGCCTAAGGAAGGGGTTGTTAAAGTCTGATGCACTGACAGCTGCGGCCCCTTAACTTCCAACTCTTTCTTGTTAACAGTAATGGGAAAATGGCAACACAGATCTTCCGGTCAAACACAACTGAGTGAGGAAATAGTACCACCCAGATGATCAAACTCTAACTCACTCAAGGAGAGCCACTAAAACAATATTCAAAAGTGCTGATTACAAGACAGTATCAACATTCAACTAGAGAGCGCAAGAGAAATGTAATCAATTTTAAAGGAAAAACAGTTAAGCTACCAGAGGAGAAAGAGCCGTCTAAGTATAAATCAGGGTATGCAAGCTTCCATGTATGTCACAGGAGCCAGAAAGAAGTCCATCTAAGAAACAGAAGCTGACCAACAGCAGTCTGCTGTATCAATGAAAGGCAGTCCTTGAACATAAGCAGATCTGATACTACTTCACAAGAAGCTTGTAATCTGCTTTTAAAAATAAAAATGACTTTTTTTTAACCTATTACTTTTGCTCAAACAAAACACAAATGTGCAAGAAGCAAGAAAATGCTTGGGAAATGATGGTGGCAACATATGTACAAATGTGCTTTATACAAATATGTATGGATTGGTCTAAGAGCCTTAAGAACCCTCAATAAAATGATTTGTTAAAATTAAAAAAACGAAACAAAACTAGAAACAAAACAAAACATATACATGGGTTTACAGCTAGGTATTTGCTACCACCTCTGGGGTAAATCCACATCTATTTGGAAATGCACCTGTGTAGAACCACTTACCCCCAAACATACCACCACCAGGCTCTGATACAATTTCAGATTATTCTTAAGTCCTCATTGTATTACCAGGACTAATGATCAGGACATAATGAACCTACAAACCCCAAGTAGTAATGTCCTACCTTATCCTCCATACTGGAAATCCATTCTCTTACTAAATTGTTCAGTTTACCAAGAACCACCAGCCTATTAAAAAAAAAAAATTTTAGATTAAAACTAAAAATTATACAAAAAAAGCAAAAGTGTAATGAAAAAGATTAAACATATATGGAGTCTTTGTTTTGGTCAACGCAAAAGCAGTTATGGGTATGTGCTAATGCTATCTTATCTGTCAATAAACGGCATACAAGAGTGCCAGAGAGATGATAAGTATAATGATTGTTGTGTATTGGAGTTGTGAGCTATCTTCAAAATTTAAAAAGCCTAATAAAAACCATAAAATAACTTTCAGTGGGAATAGAGGCTGCTAGAACTGTCAAATTTTCTGGGCCTTATTATGGAATTAAATTAATTTAGTGTGATAATAGAGGTTAGCAATCTGTAAGGCATGGGTCTTTAGATAGATCTTTTTAAAGATAGAGTACATTAAGATATCCTTGCTGTGTCTGTCTTCCCCAGGTTCTCCCGTCCTTCAACATGCTGAAAAAAATGACATCTTCTGTTTTTCTAGTTATTAAGTGCTACCTTTAAAATGGATATATGACTGCACTATTTTATAATCCCAACTCCATCCCCTTGTCAATCCCTCTTGAGGTTACTGGATTAGACCCCCAGAAGGTCCCCTGTGTTTGTCCTTATACCCCACTTTGGACTATTCCAGAAAAATCAAACTCACTGCCATTGAGAAGTTGCCAACTTATAGTGGCATAGTGGCTACACATTGGGCTACTATCTACAAGGTCAGCAGCTCAAAACTATCAGCCGCTCCTTGGAAGAATGACAGGATTATTTACTCCTGTAGTTAGTGTGGGAAACTCAGAGGGCAGCCTATCCTGTCCTATAGGGCTGCTTTAAACCAAGTCGGAACATAGGAATCTCTGCTTAAAACCATCCAATACATAGGTTCCTAAACTTATTTGATCTACCACCACTTTTCGGGGGTGGGGGGTGGGGGGGAGAGAATTACACAGTGCTCCTCTGGCAATCAAATCTCCCCTCAAAGGACCTCTACTCACAAGGCCCTCCATTACAATCCCCTCCCTGCCCCCGCAGCTTTATTTTTCTCCATAGGACTGACTTATCTTCTAACCGTCTATGTATTTACATGTCTAATTGTGTTCCATCTCACACAATCCCACAACCCTAACCTAAATGTAAGTTCCATAAGGGCCAATAAACGTGTATTTTTCTTTTTGGGGAGTCACTTCTCTATTCCTACCAGCCAACAGAACAGGTGGAGAGTAGGTATTCAATGTTTGTAAATTCATGATCAAATAATGTTCTGTCAAGTATGTTAGCTTCAATTACACACCTGTGGTTTAATTCCTCCTCATCTTCAAACACACCAAATGTTTTCATGGCATCAAGTAACTTCTGTGTATAAATATGATCAATTTCTTTAGGATGCGCCAAACTAATTGGAGAAGTGATTCCGTAATGCCTTTGTTGGCGCTGGCCGCCCAGCCTAGGGTTTCTGTTCAAGAAAAACGAAACAGCAGACAATGTTAAAGGATCACCGGGCAAGGACACACTGGATTCCTAAACCTACTGAGAGCTAATTCCGCTACTTTAAACGATTAGTTAGAGCTGGTTGTTAGTGGCAGAAACCTTTTTTTAAATAAGGAAAAATGGTAATTTTGCGTCTGTGTTTATGATGAGCTGTTCACACCGATTCTGGTTTTCATAGCCAGGTTATCTCTTCACGCGCAAAGCCGCCTGTGTTGGCATCAGGACAGTGTCCCACCACCACCAGTTTTACTCCAAAAGCCTGCATGGGAGCTGCACTGCCTCTACCTCCACTACACCCTGCAGCCTGAGCACCAGCGAGCCTGCAATCTGAAAAGCAGTCAACCACTTGAAGGAAAGCTCCAAGAACAACAATGACTCCCTCTCCTACCCACCGGAAAGAACCAAAACATCCCATTAGAAGGACCTTGTGGAATATTCTGACTTTAAAAAAAAAAATCACAACTAAGATTTGACCTTGAAAAACTCACATTAACATCTTTCGGCAGAATCTACAGCCCTAATATTTTGATAGCCCATAGCTAATTGCTCTCATTAGGACCAGGCCTATTTAAAAGTTCCACATTAATAATTATCCAATTATTTAAAGTAAATGGGAACCTTTGTTTATAAACTATAAGATAAAGGTCCTGCCATCAGGAACTCACAGTCTTGAAGCAAGTGCAAGCGAATCTCTGAGACTGGGTATTCATGGACTAACAATTTCAGAGTCAGTTCGGGACCAATGTCATGAGTTGGTAAACTTTATTTTGCTAATAAAGTAAAACAAACATACAAACCAACCAACCAACCCTACATCTTAGCTCCACCAACCATATGTGAAGGGAGGTTCATACTAACAATAAAATATGTCATCTCAAAGAAGAGCCATCTTTTAAATGGACTATATATTAACCTGGCAAGCAATAATACACAACTACAATGATTGTTTTTATGTTTTAACTTTACCTTATGCCTAAGGCAAGTTCTCTGGCTTAAGATAGGGAGGAATAATCAAATGGAAGATAAAATACTTAATCTGCCCCTTCCAGAAAAATTCAAAGAAACAAAATCAATGAAAGTGAAATCTGTCAAAAGAACTACTTCCTTTCAACTTGTAAATTTTTTATTAATTAAAAAAATATTAGTTGGGATTTACTACATGTATCCTATCATTCCATACTTCAGTCTGTAAATTCTTGTTTTAAAGACTTTACTTTTTACCTCCAAGGGGCCCTGGTGGTTTAGTGGTTTACTTGTTGGGCAGTTAGCTGTAAAAACAGCAGTTCACACTTACACGCAGCTCCACCAGAGGAGAGGAAAAAAACAAAACAAACTCACTGCCATGGAATCAACGCTTCTGGCCTATAGGACAGTCCTGTGAGTTTCTAAGACAGAAGAAAGCCTTTCTTTCTCCCTGGTTCCCACTGTCACCTTGTGAATCGCAGCCCAAACGCCACCAGGGCTCCTTTATAGGAGAAAGGTGCTCCCATCAAGATTCACAGCCTGGGGAATAGAAAAGGCAGAAAGAAGCCCATGGCCTTCTGTCCTATAGGGTTCACGAGGAGTTGGGATTGACTTACAGCAGTGGATGAGCTTTACCTCCTCAAAGAGAGCTACTGATTGCTTGTTCACGTGAGTTTATGAGTTTGGTAAGGCAACTGGAGAGCATGATTCTTCATAGAAGATCAGTCAATCACTTTCAGCAAACACCAAAGCCCTAAGATCTTTCTACCACCCTATTCTCCCACCCGTAACCATTTCAGTGCTGGCATTAATGGTAAGCTCCTTGGTCTCATTTGCTTATCTACATGCTGAAAACAAACTGGCTCTCTAAAGCCCTGAACCAAGCCCACTGACAGCATGTGTGGGGTCGATTCCAACTCACAGACCAAGCAGGGCAGAGTGATCTGCCACAGAGGGTTTCTGAGGCTGCCAGCCTTTAGCCAAGTAGTCCGCCCCACCTCTCTCCCCTCGGAAGAGCAGATAGGTTCCAACCTGACCTTTGGTTAGCAGCCAAGTGCTTTAAGCCCTCCAGTACTAGGGCTATCCGGCCCTAAGATGGCCAAGTTTAGGGCTCTGAATGTCCCTTAGCTTGGCAAGAAGAATTAAAGTATAAACGACACATACCCTCCAACCCATCCATCACTTTACAACAGTCCACATGCTGGAGACATTCTAGCAAGATATACAAGGTGATGGGTACAAGGACGCGCCTGGCTGCACCTGTCAGCGTTAAAAAACAGCCTCAAACCTTTGACATTAGAAAGTAAAAAAGACGTTAAGCAGTTTAGGAAGAGGGCTAAATTAGGCATGTGGACCTACAATGGAATGTCATTAAGAGGAACTACGGGCTGAAAGCACTATGGTAAAGCATCTGGGCAAAACTGATGCTCTAAAGCCTACTAGTTATAGAAAGTTTGAAAACAGGGGAAACCACACCAAAGTTCTCGATGGGCAAGTGTATGTAGCGAAATGGATGGTAAAAGACAAGCAATAAGAAACGCTGTATTCAGGGTTGTGGCGCCTCCGAAGAGCGAGTGAATGGGTCCAAGGGAGGCGGGGGACGACGGTCGTTCAGAAGTATTTGGAACGATCTCTTTAAGGAAAAAAAGCGGGAGAAAAGAGGTGCACACATATCCACGCACTCCACATGATGTTATGTTTTGGGAATGATGGGAGCTGGTGACACGAATGATGCTTCCATTATTTTATTTTTCCGTTTGCAGTTCCCCGTATGGTTAAACATGCTCCAATAAAACGAAATGTAAGAGGCGACAACAATATCTCGCCGAACACGCTCTTTCGGCAACCTAGATTGGCAGAGAGAACGGCGGGTGGGGTGGGGTGGAGGGCTGGGGGGCCGGGGGCACGGAGACCCCTGGCTTGATTAAAGAGATGCCGGCGGGCTGGGGGGGGGTCAGTCACTCCTTCAGCCCAGCAGACAGACAGACCGGCAGGCAGACCGACCGCGGGTCGGCGAGGCAGGGGAACGGGTTTTGCGCCAACGCCGAGGGAAGCCGAGCGCGAGACGGACAGTTCGTGTCCACCGCACCCGGCCCGCCGGGCGTCCTCGGAGGCGGGACAGCGGGGGACAGACCCAAGTCCGTGCAGGTGAGCCGCCGGATGCGTGTGGGAGGGATGCCCTTGCAGACCGGCCCAGGAGCGGGGAGCGGGAGCCGGGTGCGCTCCAGACGGGGACCCGAGCGGCAGGGAACGGAACCGGGGCGCCGGGCCGAAGTCCTCAGCCCTCCCCGGCGCACCTCACCCCCCCAACCGCCGCCCCCCGCCACTTACGCCATCACTCTCATCGCTTCCTGGGTCTCCTCCTCCGGCGAGCGTCTCTCGCTCGGGAGTCGGTCCTGGCGCCTTGCTCCCGTCCCTCTCCACTGTCCTCTGCTCGCCTCTAGCTCGCTTGCTCCTTCACGTACTTCCTCACGGACTACGGCCGCGGCATCCAACCGAGGAATGAAAACAGCACAAAACCGGCTCTATTTATGACAATACAGCGCCGCCGACGCCAATATGGCGCCGCTTCCCATCCTGCCTTTCGCCCGCCGCGGACCCGCCCTCACGGGGCTGCCCGGCCCCGCCCCGCCCCGCGCCGCTCCACCCCTCATCCTCGAGCCCGCGCGCACCGTGGTGCGGGTTCTGGCTGCAAACGCCCGTCCGAGGAAGTTTTGGGTCCACTTTGTCAAAGAACCAAGCCAAACCAGATTCCTTGCCACTGACTTGATGCGGCTTCCTAGCGACCCTATCGGACAGAGTAGAGCAGCTCCCGTGAGTTTCGGAAACTGCACAGCTTTGCAGGAGAGGTTTCGCGCGGAGCTTCCGGTAGTTTCGAACTGCTGACCTTGCTCCTTTGTCGCTGGGAGTGTAAATCCAGTCAGACCGTTTGGAAAGTTTCCCTGAGGAGGCGACATATATATTTGAAAAAGTTACACAGCCTTGCCTGGCAAATACCGCATCTTTAATTCAATGAGCTTTAGACACGCTCCTATAGGTCAAGCAATCTATTCGCCCATCAAGCAGATTTTTCGAAAGAGAATCATACCTAGGAGCGTGTAACTTTTACACAATGATTGCGTCACAAGCAAGCTTATAAATTGAAAGCGAACGGTTCACTTCACCTTTAAGTGGCACCTCCGTGACGCCTGGCCCTTGGGAGGCTTTAATACACAAGGCTGAGTCAAAATCTCACACTTCCACGGCCTGGGGATCGCGTTTACTGAGCGAGGCTAACAACAGGCACTATAGTCAAAAGACGTCAAAAGTGACTTCATTTTAGAATGTGACTCAGGGTCACAGCAACACAAAACCCAATCCCTGCAATCAAGGCAATTCTGACTCAGAGCGACCCATTACTACAGGATAGGACAGCCCCTGTGAGTTTCTGAGACTGTAGCTCCCTTTCTCAAAGATGTGCAAAACCTCATCTTTCTCCTGCGCGCAGCACAGCACGCCACCAGGGCTCCAGGACAGAGAATAGACTGAGAAACATATTCATTGAAGACCTGATACCCATCAGGCACAGGTAGGTACCGGTGATTGAATTGTGCATAAAACCAGATGTATTCTTTGACCTTATGAAATTCAGAGTTTAGTGGAGAGACACACACACATGATATGTGTCAGGTAGTGTGTGAGACACTAAGCACTTCATTGCCAACTTCAAGAGATCCCAGTGTAGGGGAGAATGGGCCTTGGGTGGATGTTCTTGCTACTTGCTTTACTGTCCATCCAAACTCATGGTAACCTCCTGTGTACGGTTGTTAGATGCTCTAGAGCAGTGATTCTCAACCTGTGGGTTGTGACCCTTTTGGGGGTCGAATGACCCTTTCACAGGGGTCGCCTAAGACCATTGGAAAGCATATCTTTCTGATGGTCTTAGGAACCGAGACACTGCTCCTCTATCCGTCTCCCAGCAGGTCCACCCACATGGAGATAGGTCCACAGACCAGTACCCGATGTGAAGACTGTTACCCATGCTTCAAGACAAAATTTCATTTCTTTGTTATTAGAAATACATAGTTCACAATATATAATTACCTATTAGTTTTGTGACGAATCATCATGCTTTAATTATGTTCAATTTGTAACAAAGAAAATAAATACATCCTGCCTAGCAGATATTTACATGACAATTCATAACAGTAACAAAATGACAGTTATGAAGTAGCAACAAAAATAATTTGATGGTTGGGGGTCACCACCACATGAGGAACTGTATTGAAGGGTCTCGGCATTAGGAAGGTTGAGAACCGCTGGCCTAGAGGATTTTCAAGGCCATGTCCTTTCCGAAGTAGATCACTGTGCTGTCTACCGGGACACCCCTGGGCAGTCTCCAATCACCCACCTTGAGAAGAGAATTGCACAGAACATTAGGAAGCAGGGGTGCCGGGGATTCTGAGAAGTCTGAAGAGGGCTACCTAAATTGGGGGGTAGGGACTCAATGGCGACTTCCTAGACGAGGCCTTGGATGCAAGTGGTGGGGGAAGGAAGGCAAACCCGGCTCCAGATGACAGTTGTCATCAGCATGGGCTTCAGACCAAAGCAAGACCCAAACTCGAGTTCCGTGTCCTGGGACACAGCAACCTGGACTAGTCTTTCTCCTCATCTATTCGATGAAGAGGATTGTAGGGGCCATGGGAGAATTAAATGAGAAAAGGATGACTACCCAGTACAGATTTCAGTCCAAAAATCTGGACATGCAAAACAAAAATACTTTCTCAAACTTAAGTCTTAGAGTCGCTCTTTCTTCTGAGCTGGTAGACAGGACGATCTTGTTTTTTTCCTGGCTACTCTTCCTCCCCAATTCTTGCAAAGGTGCCTAGGCTTTACGGACGGTGGGATAGAGTGTTTATCTGATTCTCTGCTGCCTCCTAGCCATGCCAGGGGCTCAGGAATCTATTGCAAGGGTCACTGGCCCTCTTGTGCAACACCACACAGCATTCCTCTCTGTTTCCCATCTCCCCCATAGCTAAGGGACCATTGCCAGTCAGGGAGGTGGAAAATCTCCCTTTCCCTAAGGTTGCCAACCAATATGTGTGTTGCTAGCTGCACAAAGTTCTTTTCAGGGCTTTTCAGCCTCGTTTCAAAACTAGAAAGACTTCAGACTAGTTCTGCTTTCTTGCCAAGGTAGAACAATTAGCACAGTGTCAGGGCATTAAACTCTGATTTGCATCAATTGCTGTCATCTTTGAACTTTCTTCTCTTTGTTATATATGCATTAAAAAAAAAAAAAAGAATCCGAGGGAA